CTGTTTCTGCGTGTATTATTTCCCATATACACAATTGCCCAAGGTGATTGCTAGAAGTCCATTCTTTGAAGTATAAGTAGTTGAAAGATAAGTTTTATAAGTAAAGTACTTTGCTTTCTTCGAATAAAGTTGCTACACGCTATCAGAAGATTCTAATCCTTTGGTTGGCGAAATTGATACGTGTAGGCTCTGCTGTATATTGCTGCAGAGGATGAGGCCTTCATTTCTTTCAATCAAGAGGTGGATGCTCGTTCACTGCTCAAAGAAAGGAAAAATGTTTCGGTTCCACCCCATCCTCAGGAGTGGGATAACGTGGAGCAGATGCCATTATCTGGGAAAACAATAACTGGATGGATTGGGGAGTTGGATATGATTGCCAAAGAAGTTGAGGCGGAGCTAGTTTCAAGAGAAATAGGCTGCCATCTGGCTGAAGTTCTGGATGCAATAAACTTGGTTCTTTTTGAATTCAAAGGCTTCAAGAGGTCATCTGTTACAGATTCTATGTGTTCATACTTGCACACGTTTCTGAGCACTGGCTCTGGTAACGGTAAATCTCTCACGTGTTAGATGTATTCATCTTATACAGGCTATTTGCATCCACTTATCCAGGCCATTGTTCAATCATCAATATTGTTCTCCATACTTTTAACTTTCTTTGTTTAGTCTAGTCTTAATTTGAGTGGCACAGTTCCCTGACTTAATCCTCATCTTTTTGACAGCAATTTTGCTTAGCATAGTTTACATTGAAGTTTGTAAAAGACTCGGCATAACCATTGTGGGATCCCGGGTCGGGGAGGATTTTTTAATATGGCCCCAGACAGGGAATCCAGAGGTGCTTAAATCTTGTAACCTCATCTTTCCAATGTAGTTCCTGTGAAATATCAGTCACTCCAATGTTGTCAGAACAGTAATATTCCGTCTCATTGTGCTGGATAATGATCTTTCTGGGTTTCCTTGTCTATGTTTAGGAGCTTTTCAGGGTGACTGAAGGACACAGTATGTTTGCTATTGTTAATGGGAAGTGTGTAGAGGACCCCAGGTCAAGGGCATCGGATTTAACCAGCGGTTCTCTTTTAGGCCTTGAGATTGCTACAAACCGAGACATCGTCGGAATTGCTCTGGCAAATTTGATCGTACGTTCCAATCCTAGAATATGCATATTTGTTGCATTTGTTATGGCTTTGTTTGATATCTCTTTGCAACTTTGTTCAAATAGTTTCTTGTTCCATCTTGCTTTTTTTTTGGAACTTTGTTTCATCTTGCTGGTGGAAAGTAAAAACACATTTTCTGATAATTTGTAGAGGCTCCACTGGAAATGCGCTTCAAGGTTGACTCGTGGATTGATGTTGACTTCTCCACTCAGACATGTTCAAACTACCAAGGAATTGGTTAGCAGTATCCACGGTTCCAATGTTCCTCTACTTCGTCCTCAAGATCTCAGGTTATATTCTAAATTTATTTGTTAGACTCCAGAACTATTGTCCACGCTTTTGAAGCCACCAAATTCACTCTCCTTTTCCTTAATTTAAGTAATTAACCCATGCAAAATAATACCAAGGTGTAAGACTTGGGTAGTTTAATGATCAAGTTCTGATTACTCTTCATTTGCTACTTATCGCAGTTATCTGAAATCACTGAAATAAATTTCTGTTGCTGGCTGGTTGGGAAGAGTTCCTATTTATGATACCAATTTAACTAAAAAGATCATGGTCTGAGTTTAGGGTTTAAACCTTTTTAATGACATGAGTACTAATCTTTTCAAATGAAGGTTGACAAATATTAGTTTTTATCATTAGGTGCTACTTAAGAAATTCGAACTTATTGGTTAAACACTTGAAATGATAATAATTTGAGCTCATAGGTTGCAGGTTCAAATCTTACTTATGTTGATTAATATATATGTTTATTTACTAAACTTAAATAACTATAACAAAAATTAGAATGACAAAAGTGACATGGAACATTTTGCAGCTTACTATATCCTAATGTCAATGGATATTTAAGACAAGTCCTCTGAAGAGTTGTCGACAGATGATGCATGTTAATCTGATATGGGAGCAATTCTTGTTGACAGATTGGCAATAATGGCTTCAGAAAGGTTGTTGATTCTGCAGCCACATAATTGGTCATTGAGGAGAGACCATGGCATGATGTTGTACTACAACAGGTAAAGCTGCGGGGTGATGAATGGTTTTAAATTTGTTATCATATGTTTTTCGCGAGTGTAGCCATGGTTTGGTTGGTTGATGGGCAGGGAGTACGGAAAGGCAGTGCAAGAGCTGAGTATTTGCATGGCTTTTGCACCGGAGGAAGAAGCACAAGTGCTAGAACCTTTTGTTGAGAAACTGCACCTCTTACGGCTCGAGTCATCCTGGAAATCCTTGGGACATTCGGGTCAATTGACTGTTACTTAATAACCCCCAAGCCTCGTAAGCCTCTGAGGACGTCTGTTATGTGAATATGTGTAACTTTATGGTTAGGATGCATATATACCCCAGGAATGCTTCACAGCTACTGATCTGTTACTCTATGAAAGTCCAGAATGGTCTCAGACCTTTTTAAGGCTCCAGGTAACAAAGACTCCGATCCTCCACTGTAATTTGTTAGACTCACTGAAAATGAAGAGTGGGAGGCTTGACTCTTTAGGTGGTGTATGAGTTGGGACTATGGGTGGCAAATGCATTGGATTCATAGGTTTAACTTCTAAGTGACATTTAAACTTAGGATCATTGTGAAAATTTTAAAAAGTCAAGGTATGGAAATGGCATTATAAAAGTATTAGGTACTGAAATGTATTTTTTGAAAGCTATTTTCTATAAAAATCAAAGTTTTGATATTAAATTGTAAAATTTAAATATAGGTATTAAAATGTAATTTTTCAATAATTAATGTGTCAAGATCATGTTTCCTTGAATTAAATTATTTGAATTCAGTGAATGGAATCATGGATTGGATTCCAATTGCACCATTTGTTGGAATCGTGATATTTCAGGTTTCTGGGTTGTTTATATAGTTAGAGATTTAATGTAAACACTACACCAAAACGCTAAATTGTTAAATGAATCTTAACTAATAGTATTGAAATTTGTCAATCTTCATGTTGGAGTGCAATGGAGTTAGGGATAAGCGCGTGGGTGGATAATTCGTGGTTTGACATTGAGTCGTTTGCAAATAACCGTAATGGATGGATGATTGATGTGTGGATGGATGATTGATGTGAGTGAACTGCGGATCAACAAATTTCCTACTTATGCTTATTGGGTGGGTGATGAGTGAGTCACCTAAATTACATGCATTCCATCTTTACATGAAATAGTTGTTTCTTATTTATACTATCAAATAGTCATCGTATTTCTTAACTAGCACTACACATTGACTTTCAACTTTGAAAGTAAAAAAAAAAATAAAAAAATGAAGAATATTTTCGGGATACTACTATTGGTCACTGTGTTGTAATGCACATTCGATATTCAGATGAAAATGATAAACTATTAATTGTGTCCAAGTCGCAAAAAAAAAAAAAAACCTTCTCTACATAATTGATTGATGATGTAATGAAAGATTTGATACAAGTGCTAGACATCTCAGCAGGAACAAATTGGATGGTGTCTAAATTGATACAGTCTTGCCAATTTATGAGGAATTTATTGTAAATGTTAGTTGACTTGCATAATTACTAGTTGGACAATTGCGTTTGTGGATTAACCCACAACCCAACCACACTCATCAGCCATCAACACAACCCAATTCAAAAAAAGTGTGAGTGAATTACATAGCATAGCACAAAGTACCAACTCGTTAGTCAACGAGTGAGTCAATTTAATATCAAAATCCACCGATTGCCCACCTATGGAGTGACTAGTTATTGTGATGAACTATCGAATCCATTGTATGTTTATGGTGATCCTCCACCCATTGCCCACCTATGGAATGACTAGTCATTGTGATGAACTATCGAATCCATTGTATGTTTATGGTGATCCTCCAAATCCTAGTGTCACCGGGATCAATTTTAATCCTAAGTTTATTTTTACATGACAAGAAAATAACCCAACATACTTAGAAGTGATGAGGAAGAGGCAACTAAAAGTGAGTCCCATTTGGCAGGCGGGATGATTATTCTGAATTAAGATGGGTAGGTCTTCTTGACTAACGGGGAGCAGTTTCCGGAAATTTATGACCCTATGGTTGTTGAGCTGCTTGTTCTCCGGGAGGTTATTCTATGGTGTCTAAGCTAGGAATTTGCAGAGATCAGGTTTAAAGGAGATGCTGAAGTGGTCATTGACAAGATCAATTGGCTGATATGCACAATAATCGGATTGGGGTCATTCTTGAGGAGGTCCTGCTTTGTTTCGCGAGTCACAACGGGCTTAGTGTGCGATTTGTAGGTCGGTGTAGCAATATGGTAGCCCATTTGATGGCTAAAAAAGTTCCTTTCATTATACCCGACTACGAGTCATTTCTTTAATTATCTTGCATTGCTTAATTCTATGATGTAACTACCTATTTTTCTAATCAATATATATATAATTATCTTTTGTAAAAAAACCCGATTCCAATTTAACTAGCCCACAATGTTGTCACCAACGTATTTATGATTGGGTTTCCAGAAACAAGATAGCACACGTGTTAAACAGGTGTGGTATAACAACATACTTAAACATGACGTCATTATTATCCAAGAGTAGGAGATTCATAACATATATTTGGGTTCCTCACTCGGAAAATAAGATAGTGCTTGCTAGATCAGCCATTGTATGTATCTAACAATGGAGGAGTTAGGTTGAAGTCAGAAGTAAGGGCTGCAACCTCCTTTCAAATTTGAAATGTAAGTAATATTACATGTAAAATTTGTAACATATTTAGGAACTAGAGTAGTCTGTTTCTCTAATTATTTTTAGTAAGATAATTATTATTATGGTTAGTAGAGATTTAAGGTTATTATTAGGGTTATATCTATATTTTCCTATAAATATGTAATTTGGATTTCATTATCAATCAATCAAAGAAAATATTAAGAAATTTTTTTTATCCCTAATCTCTCCCAAATCCTCTAAAATCTCTTCCTCTCTTTCCCTACAGGTCGTCAGCCATCTATCCCAATTCTCCCTAGTTCTGTTCTTCAATCCCCAATTCTCCTATCTAAATCCGTAATTTCTATCCTCGGTTCCTAAATCTCTATTGTTACAAGTAATCGCGGGTGCCGAAGATCAGTACCTAGAAAGTGAGTTTCTAACAGTGGTATCAGAGCCCGACTGCAGGCACCGATGTCAAAACCATGTCGATTTCTCATCAATTCTCGTCCATTCGCAGTGAGATGCAACAGGCGTTCGACGTCTTCATTGCCCAACAAAAGGAGAACCAAGAGCAGTTGCATGTGAAGTTTCAAGCTATCGAGGATCAACTGCAAACCAATGACGACAACTTGAGAGCATGCCTTAAGAAACTCCAAACCGAGCTCTAACAAGGTGGGACAACCCCACCAATGGTTGTCGCCGTGAAGACCAAAGAAAGGATCAGGGACACTGATGCGATTGATGATGTTGTGAGCCAAGAAGAAGGGGATTTTGTCGCCCCTTCCGTTGTTCCAAGCAAAGAGATGGCTTCCATCTGCAGAGTATACTTCAAGGCTGGAGTTTCAGGGAGGATGTCAACACCAAATCGAGTGGAGAATAGGCGATAATAGAAAATGCCTAGCTCCATTGAAGAGGAGATGGTGTCTAATGCGTCAGCCACCACGAATGGAGAGCTAACCTCGCCAGCCGCCGTGATCGACGAGATCCATACTGCCAGAATTCTCGAGTTCAAGTGTACGTTGGCAAAGTTGCGTAGCTAAGCTGACAAACGAGAAGAAATGTAGACAAAGATTTCATCGTCGAGGAACTACGCTTGATGAGTTTCACGGGCTCTAAGCATGGCCTGCACGCGGTTCGGAAGATTGGCCACAATGTGAGTAGTACCACCCACCCTACCGTACCACCTATAGGCGGCCTTCCGTCCTACAACCGCTCAACAAGGAAGTGCAGTGATCTTGAATAGGAATCCTACAATGATTAATAGGATCCACATAAAAATACCACTAGATTGAGCACCGATGATTTCGTATCCAGTCAAAAATTTGGCTAATTGATCAAAGTGGGTAGCTCCAGTAGACCCATAGATCATGGAACAAATAGGGTGGGTAAGGCAATGCCAAAGATGAGGCGGGAATCGAGCGTGTCAGCTCGCCATCAGGTGGGCATTTCATTGGCGGAGCTCGGTGTGCCAACAAACAATATGAAGAGGAAATCGGAGGAGGAGCAGGCGACGAAGGTGGAAGAACCAATGGCGGAGCGGATTCAGCGGGGTTTGTCGCCAACAAATTCCTTGGGGTTCATCGCACACATGGCGCTGGGACCTACGACAAAACCCGAGCCGGATAGGGAATTAGAGGCTTTGAGCATATCTTTGAAGACCTTAAGCCGGAGCAAAAGGAAGTGCAATTCTCTTACTCTTATTTCGTGAATTTCGAAAAAGAAGAGGACGAACTGTTCGGCTATGGTGAACGTGACATGTGTCACGTGATTCGAGAAGAGTTAAAGAAAGTTGGAGTTGTCAAAGAAAGAGTCCTTCGTGAGAAGTAGCACAACTGAAAACGAAGAAAACAGAGTGTAAAGAAAGAGAAAGGTGACCCCAACCTTGAGGGCAATGTGGCTTTCAAGAGGGGTGGTTTGTTAGAAAACCGTCCATTATGAGTTTCTCTAATTATTTTTAGTAGGATAATTATTATTATGGTCAGTATAGATTTAGTCAAATTAGGGTTATTATAATGGTCTTCCAGTATTTTCCTATAAATATGTAATTTGGGTTTCATTATCAATCAATCAAGGAAAATATTAAGAAAATTTTATATCCCTAATCTCTCCCAAATCCTCTCAAATCTCGTCCTCTTTCCCTATATGTTGCCTGCCATCTATCCCAATTATCCCTAGTTTTGTTCTTCAATCCCTGATTCCTAATTCTGCTATCTAAATTCCTAATTTATATCCCCGATCTCTAAATCTCTATCGTTATGAGTAATCGCGGGTGTCAAAGATCAGTCCCTAAAAGCCGTAGAAAGTGGGTTGCCCATGACATGAGTAAGAGTTTGTATCCTCCTTTTTACCCAGAAATAAGGGTTCCTTACATAATTGACTCTCTCATCGTGAGGAGTAAGGTCATCTTGTGTGGCTAGCGGGTGTTAAAACCATGGTCCATGAAACCGTACCGGAAAAGTCAACGGTAGGTTATTTTATGGTAAAACCGTGGTTCAACCGTTATGCCGGTAAATACCGCCTACTGGTTTAGCCTCTAATACTGATATTTTGTTGTTGAACCGTCGGTACCGTATGGTTTCATGGACACTGGTTAAAACATTATTTTCTTTGCTTGACATGTTATAATTTATACTTGCTTGACATAATTTTCCACACAATGGGGAGACATAAGACAACTTATTTTAAACGAAACTTGCATTTCCTTGTGTTAAAACTTAACTTTTTAGAAGTAATTCAATGTTATGCTTACCGATATTTAGGAACTAACTTGATGTAAACGGTTATATGTGCATAACTTAACAAAAATATAATGAATGGTCGTAGTATTTTAATTTAATGGCATAATGAAAATATTTTAACTTAAATTAATTAAACCACATAATTAAATAAAATAAAGATGAATTACTAACTAGCTCCCCTCCAACCACACCTTAATAATACTCGAGTTGATTGACTTGAATCACCCTTAAGTAGTTTAGTTGATCTGACTTAGCTCCTTGATCCGTACGTCCAAAAATTTTATGCCCTTCCCTATCGTACGTTTTAGGAGTAATTTAATAACAATTTTTCAAAACTGGTACCGTACCAGCAGTTGGATAGCAAAATACTGGTAACGGAGCCAAATCCAGAATGGTAAACGTTGCAGCGGTAAAAAAAAAAATGTAAGCCGACTTTTAGAGGTTGAATTTATAAAATGCAGTATTCTTACCGGACAAAACATCCTAAAAATTAAAAAAAAATTATCCAGTGTCAAGACGATGTCGTTTTGTGATAAACTTAGCAGAAAAATGAATATCGCGCAGAGCCCTCCTCTCTAACACCAACCCTAATCGACACTTACTCCATCCTTTCTCCTTTCCTTTATAGCGGCACACAACTCTCCAACAAAACAGAGACCAAGTCCTCTCCCAAGTTGGGATAAACGTACGTTTTCTCTTTACATTTGGGTTTAGTAAGACTTAATTTTAAGATTAATTGATGAAGTTGTGAATTATATTCAATGTGTTTTTTGTGTCTTGGTTTCTAATGTCCAATTAGATAGTATTTGACTTATTGCTATCCTGTGTAAGTATGACATTTTTCCGGTATGATAACATATTTTTCAATACTGCATTTTAACAAAAATATTTTATTTGATCTAAAAATGGTTTTTTAACAAATAACAATATGAAATGTTGAGCCACGGTCACCAAAAAATGCTCTATCATAGAATAACATGATATAACCTCCGGTAAGACTTTCCAATCCTTATTTAATACTCATTTTCATTAGCGTTATCAATCAATTCACCTCTAATTTAATTGATTTTTCATTGCAAGTCTGACTCGCTCTAAATTACTCTTTCAATCACTAGCCCAATATAAATAATAAAAAAGTGCAGTGTAGCGAAAGTAAAGTAATAAATGTCCACTAAGGCTATCATTACTTCGTGAACTTATCTATTATCTAGCTAACATATTGTGATGTCGATTAACAGAAGCTAATGAAACAAAACCAAGTAAATTGGTCTGAATTCAAGTACGAGAGAAACACTTCCTAGTTAAGCCAATGTTGTTTACTTTCCTAAATTGATTGACTCGGTACTTTTATTGCCTAGAGGTCCTCGAGTAGTTTAAAAACTTGACTAAACCAAACCATGTCCTCCTAACATAGATTACATGGAGGGAGACTATCCTCAACCCAAATAGACTACCAAGACAATACTAAAAGACTCCCGCAACTGGATCGAATTCCAGCACAACGCACTGAATTGACTCACTATCGTGTTATAGATTCACCATGTCCAATTGAAGGTGCTCTATTGACCAAATCAGGTATTCTCTATCCAAGGTTAAAGTACAATTGAAAAAATGTGATCAAGACTCATGCAATTCCAGAATATACCTCAATTAGATAAATATCAAAGAGTTCAACAATCATATGGTAAAATCATTAGTCATCCTAACATACAAAACTAGGGTTCCTCACACCCTAGTGGGAGATATTACTCCTTAGAAATGAGCGAAAACACATGAAAATCCCAAGAAATCATCGTTAGGTCGGATATATGCTTGTCCTTGTCGTTCCTCACTTCTTGGTGCTTGGGTCGGGTGCCAAATTTCCAATGGTGGTTGGATGGCTCTATGAAGATCCAAGGATGGGTTTCCATAACTTCTCTTTAAGATCTACTTTGCTCCTTTTCAGCCTAAAAATCTATCTCATTTGCAATTCCCATCGAAATCCACATATCCTATGTTTTTCCCGACTCACAGGTCAAACTCACGGACGTGACACAGAGTGAGGCCGTGATATTGACCCTGAACGTGGCGTGACATCGAGCTGGGGTGTCGCAAGTCACAAGCTTGTTTCTAATGTCACGATCATTGCTGTGACTTATGAATGACCTACAACAACATAAAATTTATCCTGGAACCCCTGCGGGTAGTCACGGGCTTAATGATATATGTCACGAGCATGGTCATGACTTGGGGAGCTAGGTCGTGGCCATGACATACAACAAGAAGACCGTGACATTCCACCAAGGTTCATGGTCGTGATTTATGCATCCGGGCCGAGACTTCTGCTGGTTTTGTCCCAATTTTATCTCCAAATGTCCTAACTATCGTTCCTAACTCATAATAACGTAGTAGGATATGAAATCTCACAAAAGAAGCACAACCCAAAAAATTATCCTAGCCAAGTTAAATGATCAAGAAACGAGGCTCGATATATGTATAATAATGCCCGTATCAAATATCATAGAATAATCTTTTCTCGGATCCACCCCAGTATTTAGATATTTACCATTTTCCCTCTATTTGGCAATTACCATTTGGTATCCATAGTCTGTTGGTCTTACAGTTGTGCCTGTTTCCCAAAACCTAGAGTTTCAATACCCAATATTTCCTAGCTCAACCCATAGGCAGATTTGACTTTCTAATTTTGAAAACTCGGTCCAACCAATCAATTCCAATTTTTTACAAATATTGCCCAACTTACTATTTGATACCCAAATTTTCTCTCATTACAAAGCTGCCACCAGTGCGGGAAAAGACCCAATTGGCCTATAGTATTCATCAAATGACCCAATTTAGAAAAATATGCCATTGAGCTCCCATTCCATAAAATTTGCACTTCATGGATCGATTCCTTTCTACTGAAATCCATTCCATCAGCTCCAAATTCTAACCCTCACCAAGGAATTTCAAGGAGACTCTTACCTTGATTTCGATAAGTGTTATTTTCCAGTGGGAAACACTCGTGTTAAATTAAAATTAATGCGCCTTAACTTCTTCGGACATCCATTACTAATACACGACTCACACCTCTTCAGATAAAATTTGAACAGGGTGTTTGATTAATGGTTTTTTTGGAATAATAAAACGAATAGTTTTTTTTATGGTTAATCAAAATTGCATTGAAGCCCGGAGAGGTGCAATCGCATCCTCCCTCTCAAAAGTGTACTTGTTCTGCTACAATGTGTAAACTAAACCAGAAAAACAATCATAAAACTATCACACTATGCTATAGCTCCAAGAACCTTCTGCACCTTCAACTGGAACGTGGTCTGGCTGCTGGTAAATATTGAGCATTCCTTCTTCACCTTCTTCACTACCTGAGCTGGGGAAATTGCCAGCGTTTCTCCATGCACTCTAGCACAGCGCTCCTTCCAAAGCGTGCTTATACCCATGATCCACATGAATCTCCCAACTGCTACTACATCAGTAGTGATACTCCAGGCAATCTCTGCCCATTTAAGTTGAGCCTCCCAATCTGCAAAATCAGGGAAACAACACACACCCTGCAAAAGCTCCTTCAACACAGCCCTACTAAAAGAGCAACCATTAAACAAATGATCATGAGTCTCTATCCCACCAGGACAAAACACACAGTCAACATCACAATTCAGTCCCCAACTTTCCAGCTTTTTCTTTGTTCTAACGCTTTCCAATATTATCAACCAAAGTAGTACACAGTGCTTGGGAAAAATTGGCTTGGTCCATACAACAGAAGACCATGACACAGGTTGGCTAGGGACCCGAATGGATGCCCATACCTGTTTGACTGAATATCGAGCAAGAACAACCCCATCCCATGCCAATGACTCCCCTGTTCCTGTTATATGCTGCTCCAAGACCCTACACTTTATGATCTTCCTCCAAACCCAGGTGCTAACTGTGCTAGGAGGAATAGCCCATATACTCCTTCCCTTCACCCTGTACTTCTTCATCCAGGCCACCCAAAGCGACCCCTGCTTCAGCTAATAGATTCCATAAATGCCTAATTACACAGGCCTTATTCCATGTAAAGTCCCGAATCCCCAATCCACCCTCCTGCCTTAATAAAGCAACTTTAGACCAAGCTACATGAGCTTTCTTTCTCTTAGTACCATCAACTCCCCACAAGAATCTATTACAAGCATCTTCTATCAGTCTGAGCACCTTTAGAGGAAGCAAAAAGATTGACATCCAATACTGGAATACACTAATAATAACTAAATCAATTAATTGCAATTTTCCTGCATAACTCATGGTTCTAGCTTGCCAAGCCTGAATCCTTTTAGTGATCTTATC